CTACCGAGTTCCTCATAGCTGCTATTTAGGTAAATACCAGTCGACGATATATTTGTGTTTACGACATCAGTACGCAATTCCGGGGGCGCATCTTGACTTTTGTATCTGTTTCAAGGTGTTTTTATTTGGTTCCCGACAGTCAGTTGTTCGCCAAGTCTAACACACTTCCTGTAGTGACTAAACCGTTTGAGGTCGGAGCAATGAGGCCGCAGTCACGACTACTGGCGTCTGTTAAGTTCGGTTGTCGGACAGTAGGCGTTGATATAGAATGTAGGGCAGTTATTTGATATTACCGGCCCTAGATACGACTTGTCGAGATCCACGTTAGTAATTGCGGTTACTTGTGGATTTTTGTGAGTAGTGTAATGTTTGTAGAAAGTAGAAGTCACGATTAAACTGCACACAATAATTTGCCCCGACGGGGAATCGAACACCGGTCCAACGAATTACCGGTCCGCTGCTCTATTACTGAGCTACCGAGGGCTGACGATCAGGTGCACAATTTAATACATGACTTCTGCCAATAAGCTCACAGCATATGTCCTGGTGTTGCAGATTGGCTCACTCACTCACATTTGGTGTGCCATTTTCATGCGGATTTGTGTGCGGTTTATCAGCGTAGCTGTTACGGTTTTCCGGCCGTTTTCCATGTAATTCTGAGGGGGAATCGTTGCAGAGGCGTACGGTCCGGCTTAAGCAAAATATCTTTGTACTGGGTACATGCAATAATGATATGTTGGCTGTGCAAAAAACAATCTCCAATTCTTCGCTTGGAAATTTGAAAATGACTGGACAGCAATGCCTAGGTGTTTTCTTTTTCAGTCGCAGTCATCTACAGATGACATCGGACATGTTACAAGCGCTAAATACATTCGTCTTTGCTGTGTTCAAACTGTATCTGTCTGGTATTTTAAAAGCGATCACATATTTTACTTTACAGTTGCTTTCACTTACCTCTGAGGCGATGGAGTCGATTAGTTGACCTATCTTATTGAGGTGAACATGATCAAACTTATCAGATAGGTTGATAATGTAATCTAGTGAAACTAAATGATTTTGAGGGGTTCATAGAAGGCCAAAATTTTCTTCATTTCGTCGAGCTCTGACTGCAAGAGGCAGAAAATAGCGCTAAGTTCAGAGGTGAGTTCGGAGAAGACCAGTCCAATGGCAGTTTTACGGCATCACATTTTAATCCTTTGGGCTGTGGCACATTGTCCTTAGGTAAACGAGTGCGTTTGAACTTCAGTGGGGCCATAGCAAACCAGGTGTCATCAGTTAGCTTAATGCTCAGTTAGCTAGAGGGAACGCGACAAACCCAACCTGTTGTGACTTGATTCAGTGCACCTTGGTTTCCGATCACCCAGTTGACGAAACGCCAAACCGTCAGGTGACTGTCGGTGTGAGTTGTAATCTGGAAGGGAACTGATCCCCGCCGGGCGATGCAGTTAAGACAAAGGCAGGGAATATCGATCGTCACCGGCCGAGAGAATTGGTCAGCTAATGCGAACGCTAGACTTGACGATGTACAGCGTGTTCTAATACTCTGGTCACGATACTCTGGTAATGCGTGACAAGGGGTCATTCTTTCAGGTGTTAGAGCATACGAACTTGCCAACTGTCCAATAGTAGATGTTGGTCTATCTCAAAATGTCACACCCGGTCACATGGCTGTAGAATGCCCGTATTCATGCGTCTGAGTACATGTGTACTTGCCAGTGTCGTCCATCGTGAAAACGCTGGATCATGCGTGAATGTTTGAGTTTGAGTTAACCAAGGGCGCACCATAAGGCAAGTCCACCGATCGATATATACGCGGTGTATGGCTGGTTGGGATGGGGACAGGTGTGAAAAGTAGACAGCGGTGCCTCATAAGCCGACTACTGCGGTACAATTATGGTGGCGCTTCGACAGGCAAAACTGGCTTGAGCAAGCAGGGTGAAATAGATAGTGTTATCTCACCCAATGACAAAAGGGTTATTGACAACGCTCTTGTAGACTGAAAGTTACATTCCAAAAACCTACCTTAGAAAAATAGACATTCCTTAAAAGTATGCCTTTTAAATATGAAATGTGACGTTTTGAGAAAGGAGCTTTGAAAATCCATGCTGCCTAAAGACTACTCGCTGCCGCATAGCCTATTCTCCCATCGCAGTATTGATGGCCGTTGTAGGAAACAAGTGTGGTTACGCTTTCCAATTTGTTTCAGGCGGGACGGTGAGCGTTCATTCCAGCAAAGTATTCTATCAGAAGGGAACTGAGAAGCTGCACTTCTAGGCACTATCTAATCCACGAGGTTACTGAAAATCAGGTATTACACAAAGCGCAGATCTCATTGACTTGAAAAAAGGAATGGCAAATCGTGGGAAGACAGCACACGCATGTGGGTTCTTACGCATAGTGTGCACCACAAGCCTGTTATGCTTGTGATAAATTTGCTGACACATTATGCTGCAAACGCACTTTTGGCTCAAATCTGGTGACCTGGCAGGCCAATCCTTTGGACCTCTGCGACCGATGCACCGGTGACTGAACACCTCCTTAACATAATGCCGCACCGTTTGTGCATAATGGGCAGGTGCGCCATATTGAACCTATAAAAGCTGAAACGAAGTGCCAAAGTATGCAACGATAATCGGTGGTGAAAACATCTCTATCTTGTAGCTCATATGTAATTTGACAGGGACAGTTCCCTTATCACTAGAGAATCATGATAGTAAGATGAATGGCGGTAATCATAATTAAGGTACTTGGCAAACACGAGGTTAACGTCATATGGGAAACGGAAGTACGTGACTCTGTTGCAAGAAGCGCATAACGCAGCCCACTGAGCTTCAACGGTTTCGTCCACCGCCGTCAACTTTACAGTAAATATCAACAGTGACGCCCGCACCCTGTCGGGCAATTGAGCGATCAGGAGTTTCTCACATACCCATCTTGTTCTATTTATCCCAGCGTTCATTCGACCCCGACGAAACATGCGCACCATTACCCATCGCAATAATGTGCTAGTGAAATCAATCGCTACACATTATACATATATTTACGTGAAGTATGTTTCAAGAACAGAAATTTCAACGAAATACATGTTCAAAATGACCACCGTCGTTTTGTTTGCAGAGCAGTACTCGCCGGATGCTATTGGATAGCACTTTCTGCAGTGTCCACCGACATACCGCGACATTCGTTGATACTCAGTTTCAGTTCCTTCAGACTGCAGCTGCGGAATGGCACAGGTCCGCGAGATTACTGCATTGCTAACCCAGCGAAATAACCGCCATGGTTGTGGGTAGCTTCATTAACCTTAACCATATCCATAACCTTATCCATAATCCATTGCTAGTACCACGACCAATCAGTTCAGTGAATGATTTCGTCAGTGACCTTACAGGTGGTGGTGCTGTCTGTCCATTTAGCCTTGTCACGATGCACCACGTGATATATGGCCATCTGTGAGTGATAAATGATCACTTCGCAGCCTTCTCTACTCACCTACCTAACTTAGCTTATTGTGAACGTACTGTGAAGCAGACGGGAACGACAGTACACCCCTGTAGTCGGAGGATGTCTTCAACGTACTCACTGCTGTATATGGGACTTTGCGATAAGTTCAGTAAAGTTGCGAATACCTTATCCACCTTGATGGACCTTCGGAAGGACCGCGCTGCGTCAAAATGTTGAAAGATACCGCATGTCTGTCTCTATCAGTTAACAATTCTCTTTACCGAAAACAAATACTTCTATCAGATCTTGTTACGAGACCGAGCACAATAGCGTGAAGTGAGTCTTTCTACCCTCAGGTTCACAAGTTAGTTGGGGCCTACTGTGAGGAAGGAACTTCATGAGATATTTAAGACTGTCACAACCGAAGAGACAGAGCCAGTTCAATTCTCTTACCGTTATTAGTAATGCAGACCATGCTGAGGACAGGAGTGTAAGAGTGGGGAATTTCGGAGAAGGCGCACAATCACGAGCTCCGGAAACTAATAACTACTACACCCCATTTAAGGGAAAATTTATTTATTGAAAAGAACAGAATAACAACTACGACAAAGCTGGTTGTGAAGAGTCATTGTTGTTTCTGTCGCCCTAGACGCAAGCAGACGAGTTACCCACCACGTAGTACGGAAGGCGCCACCTCCCCCCTTACTCCCGTCACCAAGTCAGGCCAACTAAGACAATGTCGTTGATTCCACTCAGGCAAGTCTGGACTTGCCTCACGAGGCTGTGGTTACGGTAGTTGGAATTGTACCGCTCCACAGCCTAGAGTAGTGAATTGAAAGATCGGTGCGTTGAGTGAACATATTTCGTAAAAACATCACCTACTAGTTGCTTTTCTCACTATTATCAGATTGGATCCCATTTCCTTTCCTATCACGAGCGCCAGCTCGAAAAAGGCGTTAGCAGTACGCCAGCACGCGGTACCAACACTCCACTGCCGCGCGACCACCACCAGTCGCACCTGACCTAAGGATGCTGCGAAGCTCGCCCGGTTCCTACGCAGGCTCAGACCCACGCCCTCAAATTATGAAGCAGGCTTGCGATCTTTGAGGCTAAGGACCGACACTCGGAAGAAATCAATTGAAAATGATCAAGCCGAGGCTGAAACTTTTGTGGACGGCCACCGAAACCCTCTCGGTGATGATGACTGGCTTGATGAGAGAGGTTAGAGGTTCACAGCAGAATTAATCAAAGGGGTAGTGCCCTATTACACTAAAATATATTTTAATGTGAACCGCATGAATTGCTTGCTCGGTAAAAAGTTAACATTGGCGTAGGCTGGAACCTTTAATGTTCAGTCATACGTGTACCACATCCAGGTTTCTTCGTTCAAAGTAAGACAGGTCACACTTCGTTTGGGGCTTCGGAACTGCCTAACGAGAAGTGGTGTGACATTCGGTTGGAAACGTGGCCTCCTCTCCTGATGTGGTCGATGTGTACGTTGAGCAGACAGTTGATGTGATCTATGTTTAACTGTATGGGTAGATCAACCACTCGAATAGCCGGCATGCAGCGTGTTTCACAATCCTGGTTTATGTGAATACTAATTGGACATCCACGTTAGAGGTCGATTGAAGGGATGAAAAAGAAGTGGACCGAATTGTCAAACAATTCAATTCTACAACCACTGCGACACATACCAAAGCATGAAACCTACCGTAAAGTTGCGCTGTGATAAGGCACACAGAGAAGCTAGACAAATAGCGAGAACATTCCCATAAAGGTGACTCAAGTAGAGTAAAACGAATCAGGTTCGCAAAGGGGTAGCCCTAAGTTGGTCAGTTGTTGTTGTTACGTCTGCATCGGGACTCAGGGAAGGGGGGTTTGCCATAAAAGAAAGTTTTGATTGGCCACTCGAAACTGGAAGGAGCACTCAGGAGCATGGGAGAAATTGACGTGGAACGAACCGTTTGTGAGCACAACGTGCCATGCGCGACCATATTCTACGTCCAGATAAGCTTTCAATCGTTTGGTGATTTCACACGGTTGGAGTTTTGGAAACATCCCCAAAAGTCGCCGGGCCTCGTCGCTAATTTGCTCCTTAATGTTTTCAGGCATATCCCCAGCCATCTGAACAACGCCGGTGTACGAATCAGGTTGGTCAGCAAATTCATGAGTAGAGCCAAGTTGACTGAACAGTATAACACAAAGGGTAAGAGAAATAAACATTTATCTGACCGCCGCCGAGAAAACAGAATAATGTGCGAGTGTGTACTGCGAACGAACCGTTGCTCACACTGAATGAAACACTGGCACAAGTTAGTCTGACGCAATTGTGCGCCTAGTTCACTGCTACGTGGATGCCATAACCATCGGCGCGAATCATAAGTGCAACATCCTCGGCCATGTCATGAAGTCGCTTGGATGAATTCGTGCATTGGTCAAACCGTCACTGACGTTGAACTCATCCAAGTGTAAGCACGTCCTGTTTGCACTGTTTAAAATAGCTCGTTACCAGAATGTTACAAACTGTCTCCTAATTCACATCTTTGGTAAGAGCTTAAGCTTCACCACGTTAGTAAGGAATTTTGGAGTCACACTGAGGCACAATTTTTTGTAATCACTGCGCATGAATGAAAGACTGCTCACAATCAGGAGACTGTCGTTTTCCGTCTCTCGTTTGGGATCCTCCTTCTTCTCCCACATTTCGATAACGCAGTTACTCCTGCGTGTATTCAGTCAACCTAGAGTTATTGAACACCGGAATTTTCTCCAGGCAAATTGTGTAAGCATTCCAAGTTAGCTGACAGTTCCCTGAAACACACATCTCACCGCAGTCGCATATCGATTTTAGCCCTGGTTCAAATTATTGTACGTACGCATGTTAGTTTCTGTACAAAACTTAATTCGAAAAGGCTCACCGATATCAGCCAATTTCTATTTAGCATGCTATGTAATGGTATATCTACACCATCGACCAGACGAAAATACAGAGCAGTGTATGACCGCGTCGGCCTACCTATATATAGCCAGATCTTTACTTGATTCTAGCGTTATCATGCAAGAACTAACCACTTGGTTCGATCAATGATGCCGGACTACAAATCAAACTACTTTTTGCTGAGTTTTTTATGCTGTTGTAAGTACTGGATTTCCGTTCCTATCGTTTCGATGGCAGATGTATCATAGCTGAAAATTCACCCTTCCCGTGTGCATAAAGCGCATTCTTGACTTGATCTGAAGTAGGATTTGACTAAAACTGTTGAAAATAACAACACTACAAGAGGCTCACTGATCAAGTTGCACCGAACTGGATACCGATATAATAATAAAGGGACAGACATGCGAATTCTGTTAGTTTATTATATAGTATTTTCCTTGAGAACTGTAGTCCTATTAATGGCAGCAGACCATTGGTTTCGTGAAAGTGCACTTTGGCAAACTCAGTAATACATTCAGAAACACAAAGATTTGAAACATCAGCGAGGACCACTGAGCTTCAAATGCACAGTGACCCCTAAAGCTGTAATCTGAACACACACTGCATTGTGGAATTTCCCCATTACTAGCCGCAAATGAGTGAAGAAAAGGATAGGCGTTTCAGATACTCACTCTCTTTGGGCACGTAGCCCAAGCACTTCACAAAACTTTTCCAGTTCTATTATTCCAGTCTGCTCAGCACCAAATAAAGTCTTCCAGCGCTGAAGAGAGAGAAGTAGGACCAAGAATGGGCATAATTTTCAACAATAATCGTGTATGACAGAGGCATCTAGACAACTGTCTTGACCATATTGCTAGAAACGTCATCTAAAACAATCTGCCCGGTTGACGTATACCCACCGAGGCAAACTAGTGGAAATCTACTCAGTTTAGGTTTTCACCTAAACATTATAACACGAAAAGTGGTGATTAGATTAAGTGGAACGGATAGTGAGGTGCTTCGAATTTAGTTGCGTATATTTTAGTCGAAGTGGCAGTATATAAGTGAAGTGTATTGTGCTGCTCATTCAACGCGCTACGGGAATATGAAATGCTAACCTGGATCATGCATGGATTCAAATTGTGTCTGGCCACATATTCCTCCAAGTCATCGGGGGTGATCACCTCATCATAATCAGTGTCAATCTTGAAAAACAAATTGAAGATATCTTCCATGTTTGGAGTGGCCTGAATTCAGCTGTACCACCTTATATAGTTCACTACCTTCACTTTCTCGTAACCAAATGGATGGTGTTTCGATGGCACACTCCAGATGAACAGGGGAGGGTCAAATTGAGGTGAACAGAGTATATCCACACCTCCGGCTTACATTAACACTTGTGTCGTTTCTCACAAGCCGCGTCGCCATACAAAGATGGCCCGATATCTCAGCCAAAATATTCAATAGCCGGTGTTCGTTACAATGAAATCGATAATTTGCAGTAGCACGGAAAGTACGAATGGAAGCTTTGTCACCCGGACAAAAATTATTCTCACCTTGAAAATTTGGTGTCTACAATGGCCCGCCATAGAGGTTAATTGGATCCTGCGATATAAGAAGCTATTGCGCATGAGCTTGTCGTTGCCGCCGTAGGAAGGCACGAAGTAGAATGTATGGCAGTTTCTAGGGTGACCATCCAGCACACCCCCACTCCCCCTCCAATAATTCTCAGCCTTCCGATAGTAGCCTGGAAACTAAGCATCATTAAACACCACTGAGGTGTGTAGAACGAACTGTGAAGTAGGCAAACATCCAAATCATGGAAGGGAAAGGAAAACATTGGAATAGACCAATTCGATTGGGGCTCGAACAACTCGTAAAACAGCCGGGACAAACCGAAACGATGCCGAAGTTGACTACGGTACGATTAAAGTACATAACAAAATGCGATACGAACTACCTTAACAATACCCATTCAGTGCCGAAAGAAATAAGAGTAACAAGATAAACAAGATCACAAGGAAAGTGCTGGTTGCCGTACTTGCGACTGTACAGCCAGACCACAAAATTTAGTGTTCACTAGTCGGATTCCACGGCGCTTTTACTGGGTCACGAATCTCCATTTAATTGACTCGCTTTACAGCTCATAGAGGAATAGGGTGCATTGGGTTCTAAGGGCAGTTTCAAAGGGGTGAGATTAATATCACTTGGAGGAAAGTTTGGACAGTCCTGAGGGAACCGATAGCGGGCATGCGGTTTGACCCCCCGGGGCAAATCGCACATCGTAGAAACAAGCGATTGTGGCAGCGGGGTAGGGATAAACCCATGGGGCCTCGGATTCGATACAGTTCGAAAAATAGGTAGTAGCTTAAAGTATAACACATGGAGCAATCTCACAAAATCCAGCTTGTGATTTACATGGTGCTTTTATCGTTTACAGTTTCCTCAAAATGCAAAGGATTTATTCGCATTGAGCAATCCTTGGTTGTTCGCCGTGGTTCGCTATAACCCGGCTCCATCCGCTGTGTGAGAATACAGGACGGTACGACTGCACTCTCCCACTTCGGCCTATTGAACTCACAGTGATCCACCATGGAGCAGCAGATCCGAAGATCCACCTGCGGAGAGTCAACATACGGTACTACTGCTACCTCCGCCTGACTCCCCGCCGGTTTCTGAGACACTGTTGGCATTAAATTGGCTGAACAGATGTATAACAGGATTTCTCTTGAAGGGAAAGTTAGGATCTTTAGTATACCAAACGAGTTGAATCTTTTGATCCACGAGTACGGCTCACCTGCCTATTGTCGGATCACACATGGTAAGGTGCAAAAACTGGCAGGTGTTCAGCATGTGGTTACCAGCCTCATCCGCAGTTATATGAGTATGTCGTACGGAGACTGGTGCATTACACTCTGCCTTATCGTCAGTTTCGAGGCGACTACAAAATGCATCACCGGGTATTACATCTGAGTGACATCTCTACGCTGAGGCTGCTTTTGCACCTACGAGCTTCAAGCAGCATCGTGGGCTTGTGGTACCGGACCTGAAGCGGACAGCTCACTCTATATGCTTCCAGCGTTGAGTGGTGAAATAGTAGGACACTGTCTGACGAAATAGATGAGGCGAAATCGATGTCGAAATTCAAGGAATTCCTGGACACCCACTACGCGAAGTGAGATACCGAGAGCGCATGGCTCCAAAATAGGATGTTGCACAGGCAAAGTGCGTTGACGGTGCTTCGTACAAAACAAGGTCATTCCGAATGCATACCTGACGGAACAACACTGACGTATCTACTAATCTTTATTTCCAGTATTCAGGATTACAAGTAAGAAAACTGTAACAAATACCCATGTTTCACAGTCGTCTCTTTCTAATACTACTTCGAGATAGAATCGATATAACTCACATAACAACGGAACTCTCCACTTAAGAACCTTGTTAGGATCCACAAGTGGTGTTGTGATCTAATCAAACGAGGATGGCAAGTGGTGACGACACGAAACAGGATTGATGTGAGACCACAAAGCAGCCGCTAGCTGGTAGATGCTTGGAATTTTCATATCAACTAACTTATTTCCACTTCATAATACAGATTGCATGCACCTTTATGTAATTGGAATTCAATCTGGACACAAGCCAATTATTTAGATAAGAGGCATTTGCTGCCGATCGATTGACACAATGCACACCATCCAGTTACTCCATCACATGTAACTCAAACCGTCTGGATGTGGTGACTTATGTAGGCAGTCGCAGGCGTCCAACAAAACCTATCATCCATGCAAAGGTGAATGCTATCATCAGTAGTGAGACATTGAGAGTGGATGAAATGAAGCCGATTGAATGCGGAATATTTCAGCAGCAAAATACATCCAAACTAACGATACCGTGTGAGTGCACGATCAATGAAAGCCATGACCACTAAACGAGTAGTAAGACACACAATGAGCAATTAGCTTGGTACATTCGTATGGCTGAAAATGAACCAACTATATTAGGAATATCCCAAGACACAACGCACGTAGCGCGCTTAGAGCGAACAATTGTTTTCAATTTATTCATCGTTGGCTTAGTCCAGTTATACCGTGGCGGAGCTGTATGTTATCGGATGCATCCCCAGGTTGCGGTTCCGGTAACGCGTGCCTTGTAGAGGTAACTGTGAGTAAGTCCCGTTAGTTTTGCAAGCGAGATGAATAAGTAGTCGCGAACAATCAGCGGCAGCGCCTCAGAGCGTGGGGAGTTCTGGGCTGGTCGCTTGATTCTCCACTAAATGACACAAGAGCTCGTACGGCGCTGTCAAAGCCAATGCGACTGGCTATAGGGTTACTGACTACTTCCGTAGCCAAGAATGAGCACTTAACCGAGGTCGAATAAAAAAAACTAATTGGCCAATGGCTTCTCTGTGGACTGCTACGGAATACTGAGAAGGCGTATGAGCCACTTAGCTGTCAAGGGTACTAGTATTCCGCGGCTGGTTAGAGGTTCCAGAAACGTTTCTGACCGCTGTGCTACTCTACACTCGAGTAGTTAATGTGCTCGGAGTAGCTTGTTACTACTCGAAATCCTCTAGACCGGTTCCGAACGGTTTGCGATAAACATTAATCGCACAGCTGCATCGCGGGTCAGGTTTGAGGCTCCGGATGGGGTCACATAAATCAGCCCTCTTCCTCGACCTAGGCAACCGGGAAGTTCTCTGCTCACACAACACATGAACATACGAAAGCTCGTTCCCTGCCTTCGCTTTCATTGGCCGTGGGGCGGCCGGCTCAGCTATGTCATGCTCTAATGCACTGTCTGCTACATGCTTTGTTCCACGTTTATTGAATTCATATATCCTTGGTAATCCGTCTCTGATGCCGAGTCTTCAACAACGTGTCACCCTGATGGGCAGTTCAAACCGTGTCAATAGACATTTCCAGACCGTCCATGTGCCACGCAATCGCGAAGACAAGACATTTTTAGACCCCTGTTCTCAACTCCGGTTTGCTGCTTTCATTGTTCGGACGCTCGTGGCAAACAGCTCTTGCTCGCACGCTAGAAGCCCTCTCCAACTACATATGTTGTCTAGCTGAGATTTGCCTACAGGACTCCAGCTTAACCTTACGATCGACATCACCTTCTGCGTGCTCCCACGGTACATTCACACTACGCTCCTCCGGAGACGCAACTGCCGAACCTGCGCGCCCGTCCGATATAGGAATTGCGTTAAGTGAGCGCGCAGAATATGCACTAATTAGATCCCAATTAATAGCCGACCATGTGCGATTCAGCTAGTAAGCTCTGTACGATTGTCAAAGCCGCGAGACTAACAAATGCTGTCTGTTTATCGGACTGTAGCCCGAACGTAGCCGTCAATTCGCCGTTCCCTATAAGAAACGCCGCACGGATATCGTGGCGCTCACCAGGGACTTAAATACACAGGCTTTTAGGCTCAAAGAAGGTGAACGCGAACTTGGTGGTCTGCATATCCATAGTACTCGCAGGACGGACAATGCCTCCTAAGGCTCTATGATGTGCGTGGTCTATTCCTTTCGAGTATGAAATTTTGGCGCTCCTGGCTCCAGCGAGTCACCTGGACATTCGTGGACGAAGATTGATCTCATCGTCCACAGTTACTGCTCGCCAGGCCGTATAACGGGAAGCAAATCGCTTTGGAATACTCAACTCATCTCTGGTCACGCAGTTGAGTGTGCTAAAGTTGCCTTCCGCTTTGGTGGTACTGAACAGCATCGTCGGAAACAGTTTTGCTGTATCCAACTTTGTCGCTCCAAATATTTTCAGTGCCTTTCAAAATTCGCTAGCTTCTAATCTGAAGAGCCCCCACTCCCAGATATTGAGGATCATTGGAAACACAATCGGAGGGCCATTCGCTTAGCAGGCCATTAATCAATGGATTTCTGCTCTATCTGTTCAACTGATGGAAGATCACCGGAAAATTCCTGTTGGTGTTGAGTATAACATATTGCGCAGAGCTACTAACGCCAAGATTAAACAGCTCCTCAGAGAAAATCGTAAACCTTATACGCAGCGTATCAACGCGATAGATCAAAATGTGACATCAGTGAACTACCGCAGACTATTCTTTCTTATCCGATCTACCGGTGGAAAGAGAACAAACGTAAGCTGTAGGGGTGTGTAAATAACGGTGAACCAATTCACAATCAGCAACGCAGATTTGTACGTTGGGCAGAGTACTCCAAATAGCAGTCCAATTGGCTCAATTGCCTTCGAGTTGCCATTCTTGTACCGACGGTGTTCAGTGGTGCGTAAGCACCTCCACCACCTGAGGCCGAGGTGGCCTCTGAACTTGCTCTAAAGCGTCACAGATCGCCCGGTCCCAACGAAATGCCTCCGG